CCCTTGATATTGTAGTTCTGGATTTTAGCCTGGGCCTTCTCTTTTTCTCTTCTTGGTCTGTTGCTTCAGCTACCAGGTCTAAGTATTTGGTGAGCAGCCAAACTCCTTTATCTAACTGAGTACCTCTTCTTTTTTCTCTTTGTTTATTTGAAAGCTAGAGTTAGATCTTCCATTCACGGATTCACTCCCCAAATAGCTGCCGCAGCCAGGGCTGAACCAGGCTGAAACAGGAGCCTGGAACTCCATCAGTTCTCACATAGGTGGCAGGGCCCCAAGAATTTGGGACCATCTTTTGCTACTTTGCCAGGCCCATTAGCAGTGTACTAGATAGTAAGTGGAACAGCCAGGACTTGAATTGGCACCCATATGGGTATTGGCTTTGAAGGTAGTCATTAACTCTTATTAATTCCAGTGTGGAACCCTTGAGTACCCCTTAAAGGTTATCCATTAGGCACTGTGTTTTAGTTAGGTGAGACCCACATCTAACTTAAGCAAAAGGATGAATTTGTGACCCAGCCAGCAGAGGATAACCAGAACTCGGGAGCAGCTGCAACCAGGGGCTCGACATTGGGTTAGGACTGTGTGTGTGTGTCTGTCATCTGAGATATAGTGTTCAGTTCTTTTTTGCTGCAAATAGATTTTAACACTTGCTAATCTTCTCATCAGAGAAAGATTGCCCTGTCAACTTTGGTTAGGAGCCTACATTACAGTGATCTGCCCTAGCTGTGACATCCCAGGGAATGTAGAGTAAAGGACACTCGAAAGTAGCCTTGTCCCCCTGTGTCACCCCGGGGCTAGTTAGTGCACATCCGTAGCCCTGCCTTCTTCCAGAGGTAGTAAATATTTGTTTACCATTATCCAAAAACGCTAGTAAGCATGCTCTTTTCTTCTTTGAAAGCTAACCCATTTTCATATTCTGCAACTACACCTGGAGGTCACAGTTCTTAAATTCCAAATTCCATATTTATTTGTTTTTATTTGAAAGACAGAATACACAGAGAAGAGAAGGAGAGATAGGGAGAGCTTCCATCTGCTGGTCAAGTTCCTGAATGGCTGCAATGGCTGAAGCTGGGCAGGGTCTGAGCAAGGAGCCAGGAGCTTCTTCAGGTCTCCCATATGGGTGCAAGGACCAAGTACTTGGGCCATTCTCTGCTGCTTTCCCAGGTTGTTAGAGGAGCTGGACTGGAAGTGAAGCAGCTGGATTGGAAGTGGAGCTGCTGGGACTTGAACTGGCATCTGTATTTGATGCATAGCATGATATGCCATGGTGCTGTTCCCTTAAATTGAAAATTCTAAAGGTAATATCCTCTGTTGGTGTGGCCTAGATAGGCTTGATTGGACTGGATGTGAGCTTCTCTAACTGCTGATACACACAAGTTGGGCAAGCAGAATGAATCATTGTCCTAAAACTTACACCAGATCCGTCTGGACAGACACAGTAGGTCAGTGATGGACCCAATCCTTTGCATGCTCTTCCATTTGCTAGTTAGCTTCCTTGCCAATGTGGTGGATTCTTTGGTCAGCCAAGTGAAAGTTTTGACTCTGTCCGCCATGAGATTTTTTTTTTTTATCCATTGTCTTTTTCTTTCTCTTCCTCCTCCTTTATCTTCTTCATCAATACTCTTATTTGAGACACAGAGCTTGCCTGGGTTCTAGTTCATTCTCCAAATATGCGCAGTAGCCAGGGCTTGGCCAGGCTGACCCCTGAAGTTAGGAACTCAGTCACAGTCTCCGCAGGGAGTAGCAGGGATCTGAGCACACAAGCCCTCATCTGCGGCCTCGCAGGTGGTGCGTTAGCAGGCAGTGGGGCTGAGGGCTGAGGGAGGAGACCTCGGTGTGCAAGTGTTCCCCGTGGCAGCTTAACTGCTCCACCAAGACCTAACCTGTTCGTCATCTGAGGTCAACACAGAGAAATCTGCAGATGGTTCTTGATTACTCTTTTACTTCTCAGATGTAGCTGACACTCAATAATTCTAACAACTTAACATTTTTGAGTATAAATCCTTTCTTGACATTACTGACATTTCTACTGTTTCTGCCTTAATTCATGCCTTGATTTCTCACCTGGCTTATTTTAATAGTATTTTCATTTGTGACCGATAATAAAGTTCCAAAGTGATTTTTCCCTTGAAATGGAAAATTTGTTGCTAAAAATTTCTTAGAAGTATTATTTTTTTTCTCCTGGTTTTGTTCTGCACTTGGGGATTCTTGGGCATTAATGAGTTTTTCGCAGCATTTGAAGGCGACTTTGGAGCCAGATTCTGCCTTGGGACCCAGGTTGCTGTGCTGAGATGTTATTTCTTGTAGTTTTGATAACTTACAGTGTATTAGTGAGGACACAGTGGTCCATACAGGCAAAGATGGTGGGGGAAAGTTGAGTCATGTCATGGATATGTGTTAGTACAGACATGCCAACCCTGGAAGAACTCTGGCACAGTATTCCAGATTGCCTGTTCACTGTGCGTTCTGTCTTGTGGAGCCCACCGCTGCGCTTAGTCAGCAGTGGAGTTTGCTGTGTGTGTTTCGTTGCTAGCCTCAGTGGTGGTAATAGGAGATGCACATACGAAGCAGACTTCAGGAAGGTGCTTAGCTATAAATGTACAAGACAGGCTGCCAGAGTTAACAGGTTTAAAGTCAGCTTTTAAGAACTGCCAACTGGTATGGTAGTGTAAGGTTGCATTTCTCTGATTCAGCATGTAAAGGTTTGCAGTTGTCAGATCCACTTGGTATGACATACTTGGTATACATTTTCTACTTTAATATTTATTGAAGTCAAATGGCTTAAAAATATAGACCCAGGCAAGAGACTACATATTTCCACAATGAAATGCAGCCTTCATCTACCTTTTGTGAAGCAACATCATGTGTTGCATTGATGTTACCTTACATTTTCTTTTGTGTCTTTGAAGTCTTTTTTCCAAATATTTATTTGTTTTTCTTTAAGAATTATTTTATTTTTATTTAAAAAGCAGATGTACAAAAAGGAAGAGAGACAGAGATAGATCTTGCGTCTGTTTTCACTCCCCAAGTGGCCGCCATACCCAGAGCTGAATTGATCTGAAGCCAGGTGTCAGGAGCTCTTCTGGATCTCCTCTGTGGGTGCAGGGGCTCAAGGTTTTGGGCTGTCCTTGACTGCGTTCCCAGGCCTCAAGCAGAGAGCTGAGTGGGAAGTGGGGACATAAACTGGTGCCCTTATGGGATCCTGGTGCGTGCAAGGCGAGAACTTCAGCTACTAGGCTACCACGCCAGGCCCAATTGTTTTTTGTTTGTTTCTTTAAAATGTATTCATTTTCATTGGAAAGTAAGATTTATAGAGAGAAGGAGAGACAGAGAGAAAAAAAAAAAAAGATCTTCCTTGTGCTGGTTTACTCCCCAAGTGGCTGCAACATCTGTAGTTGATCTGAAGTCAGAAACCAGGAGCTTCTTCCCAGTCTCCTGTACAGCTGCAGGGTTCCAAGGCTTTGACCCATCTTCTAGTGCTTTCCCATGCCACAAACAGGGAGCTGGATGGGAAGTGGAGCAACTAGGATACAAACCAGTGCCCATATGGGATCCCGGAGCGTTGAAGGCAGGGACTTTTGCCACTAGGCTACCACACCAGCTGATTTATTTATTTTACTTGAAAGTCTGAGTTAGAGAGAGAGAGAGACAAAGAGATCTTGCATTCACTAGATCACTCCCTAAAATGGCCACAGCTACCAGAGCTGAGCTGGTTTGAAGCTGGGAGCCAGGAGCTTCTTTAAGGTCTCCCATGTGGGTGCAGGGTCTTAAAGCCTTGTGCCATCCTCTCCTGTTTCCCAGGCTGTTAATAGGGAGCAGGATCAGCAGTGGAGCAGCTGGGCCTAAGATATTTATGATATTTATGGTGGACAAACTTTGACAAAAATGCAGGGTTTACGTGAGTATAGAAATGGAGCATTTCTAGACAATGTCAGACAGTCCAGCATCCCATTGTCTACACATTTCCAGCAGTTTCATCTGACATTGTACCCGCAATGTCAGGGTCCACTTAAATGAGACGGATGGGATTGTGATTCCTTATGAAGGACTATACCATTGTAAAATGGGGAAAATCTGTCGGGGGGTAGGAGTTTGGGGGGAAATCCCAGTCTATATGAAATTGTACCACATAATTCAAAATAAAAATATATAAAATTAAAAAAAAAGAAATGGAGCATTTCTGTACATTTTTCTTATATATTTTGTTTCTCTCTTATAGCCCTTTAGGAATAGTACTTTAGAAATGGTAAATTCTTGGTGTCATTGCTTTCAATTAATTATTAATAATGGATTATATAACGTAGTACTTCACATGTATATAATATGTATTGACAGAAAAAGGCTTACTTACTTTCTTATTTTAAAATATTTATTTAATTATTTAAAGACACAAATCCAGAAAGAAAAGGAAAAATACAGAAACAAAAAGGAGAAGGAATTGACATACATGGAGAAGTCCTTCTTGTGCTGGCTTACTCCGCAAATGGCCGCAGTGACCAGGGCTGGTCCAGGCTGAGGCCAGTGCCCAGGGCTTTGTCTGTGTCCTCTGTGTGCGTGCAGGGCCATGGCCTTGGGCCATCCTCTACCACTTTCCAAGGTGGTTTAACAGGGGTCTGAACATTCAGGACTATAAAACCAGTACACATATGAGTTACACATTGCAGGTTATGTTAGACCACAACCTTGTCCCCAAACCTACCTTGCTAATGTTATAAAATATATACCAAAAACCTTAGAGTGCAAGTGGGAGTCTATCAGTGGTGAGAAAAAGATGAATAGTATCAGCATCATATTCTTTTTTTTTTTTTTTGAAAAGCAGAGTTACAAAGAGAGACCTTGGAGTGGAGAGAGACAGGAGAGAAAGGAGGGGAGAGAGATCTCTGTTGGTGATTCACTCCTCCAGTGTCTGCAGTGACCTGGCCAAAAGCCTGGAGCGTATCCAGGTCTCCTGCATGGCTGGCAGGGCCCAGCAACTTCGTATGTCTTCTACTCTTTCTCAGGTACATTAGCAGGGAGCTGGATGGGAAGTGGAGCAACTGGAATTTGAACCTGCACCCACATGGATGCCAGCGTAGCAGGTGGCAGCTAAATCCTCTATACCGTTACATCAGCCCCAGCACTGTAGTCTGATACCCAACCTTCAGTGAGTACTTCCATTGTCTTAATTTGACTCTGTTTGTTTGTTTGTCTTTTGAAAATTTATTTGTTTTTATTGGACAGTCAGATTCACAGAAACAAGGAGAGTCAGAGAGAAAGACCTTCCATCTGGTGGTTCACTCCCCAAGCAGCCACAACGAGCTGAGCTGATCCAAAGCCAGAGCTGAGCCAATCCGAAGCTGGACTCCAGGACCCAGGACGCATGCAGGTGCAGGGTCCCAAGGCTTTGGACCATCCTCTACTGCTTTCCCAGGCTACAAGCAAGGACCTGGGAAGGAAGTGGAGCAGCCGGGATATGAACCAGGACCCATGTGTGATCCCTGGGCATTTGAGGCGAGAACATTAGCCACTAGGCTACCATGCCTGACCCATGGCTTGACTCTTGAGGCAGTTACACTAGCACTTTACAAACTTATAAACAACTTCATAACATTTTATAGGGCATTTTGAGTATCTGTTGTGTGGCAGTCATCATGTTAAACATTGGAGGAGAGAGGGGACTGTAAGTCCTATCTGAGTTTCTTGTTCCAGAAGCAGTGACAGATAAGTGGGGAGTGGAGATAAGAAAGTAGCAGTCAATCAGATAACCCTACTGTAAGTCGGTAGTATGCACCACAAGGCAGGAGCAAGGGCTTCTGAGAATGAGTGATTTTCTGATGTTTCTTTCAGAGAAACCTTGAAAGTCTTCTTGAAGAAAGTGGGATATATGATAAACTTTGAAAAGGATGTTTTTAAAAGTGGATTGAAAGAAGAAAGAGGGACTAGTTTGGGGATCTGAATTTGTAGATTTGTGTAATATTAAGGCTTCATGAAATTAAGAATTGATCTGTTGATAGCTTCAAATCCTGGGAAGAAAATTTTGGGCTTAGAGTTTTCTGTAGAGCTTGGAGTTATTGATCATTTTAAAGTGGAACAGTGTGTTAGTTAGCTCTGGTTTATAATTTTATAAAAATAACTATCAATGCATACGTTATGAATATTTCAGTAAGATACCCTTTAGGTTATAGCTACTTTTTTAAAAAAGGATTTTACCATTTTTATTGGAAAGGCAGATTTACAGAGAGAAGGAGAGACAGAAAGATCTGCCATCTGCTGGTTCACTCCCCAGATGGCCAGAGGTGAGCCAACTTGAAGCCAGGAGCCAGGAACATACTCCAGCTCTCTCCTGTGGGTGCAGAGTCCCAAGGCTTTGGGCTGTCCTCTGCTGCTTTCCTAGACCACAGCCAAGCAGGAACTGGATGGGAAAAGGAGTGGCTGGGACATAAACCGGTGCCCTTATGCGATCCCAGTGCATGCAAGGCAGGGGTGTTAACAATTAGGCTACTGCGCTGGGCCTTTAGATACTATATATATTTTTTTCAGATTTATTTAGATTTTATTGCAAAATCAGATATACAGAGAGGAGGAGAGACAGAAAGGAAGATATGTCCGATGATATACTCCCCAGGTGACCACAATGGCTGGTGCTGTGCTGATCCGAACCCAGGAGCCAGGAACTTCCTCCAGGTCTCCCACGTGGCTTTGGGCCATCCTCAACTGCTTTTCCCAGACTACAAGCAGGGAACTGCATGGAAAGTGGATCTGCCAGGATTAGAACTGGTGCTAATATGGGATTCTGGCATTCAAGGCGAGGACTTTAGCCTCTAGGCCACGCACCGGACCTGCAATTTAAGATTTATCTTTTTTTCTTGGAATGGCCAATATATAGAGAGAACAAGAGTTAGAGAAAAAGATCTTCTGTCCCCCGATTCACTCCCCAAGTGGCTACAATGGCCATAGCTGAGCCAACCTGAAGCCAGGAACCTCTTCCGGCTCTCCCACACAGGTGCAGGGTCCCAATGCCTTGGGCCGTCCTCTACTGCTTTTCCAGCCAGGCCGCATCAGGGAGCTGGATAGAAAGTGGAGAAGCTGGGACAGGAACAGGTGCCCATATGGGATCCCTGTGCATGCAAGACAAGGATTGAGCCACTAGGCTGTTGCGCTGGGCCAAATTATGAAATATGTTTTATATAAATACAATTTCTAGTTCACTGGGATTTTACATTTAAATGGTGTTGGTATGTGTCAATATTTTAATTGTGAAATGACATAACAAAATTTTGTTATTTTAGATACAGTTTGGTGATATTAAGTGTATTCACAATGTTATACAACTGTCACCACTGTCTTTATGAAGCTTTCTTTTTACCATCACAGATGTTCCATGAATATCTGCCCATTGTCCCAACTTTGTTTTATCTTCAGTTTCCACTAATTTGTCTAATCCAGTAAGTGAATCTTATAATATGTGTCTGTTCGTATCTGGCTTGTTTCACATAAAATTTTTAAGTTTCATCCATGTCATATTATATATCAGAATTCCATTACTTTCTATGACCAAATAATATTTCACTATGTATATATCATATTTTATCTGTCACTTTTTACAATTTGTTAGTGAATATCCTAATTGGTGTGCAGATGTGCCTTATCCTGGTTTCATTTGTGTTTCTCTGTTGACTAAAGATGTGAGTTATCTTTTCATATGCTTATTGAAACATGCTGGAGAAATGTTGATTCTAGTCTTTGGGCAATTTGTAGTTGCCGGCTTGGCACTCTTGTGGACAGTCAGTTGTGACTGTGAGGTGTGTTTTATTGGCCTGTAAGTTTGTACTACTTTTTGATGTCGGGAAGTGTGCAGCTTCCACCTTTCTTATTTGTAAGATTATTTTGACTCGTAGAATCTTGGTGTGAATTTTAGCATCAGGTTGTGAATTTCTGCAAAATATCAGCTGCAATTTTGATGGGGAGTATGTTGAATCTAATCATCAGTTTTGGCTTTTTTTTTTTTTAACATTTATGTATTTATTTGAAAGGCAAAGTTGGAAAGAGTAGTAGAGATGTTAGAGAGATCTCAGACGGGTGTAATGGCCAGAGCTGGACTGGTCTGAATCCAGCAGCCAGTAGCCTAGACCTTCCTCCAGGTTTGCTATGTACTCACCGGTGCTTAGTTCTTGGGGTGTCTTCCACTGCTTTCTGAAACGTGTAAATACGAAGCTGAATTGGAAGTGGAGTACCTGGAACTAAAACTGGTTTTCATATCCAATGCTCACACTTTGGCTAATAGCTTTGTCTCCTGTGCTACAGCTCTGGACCCAAGTATTGCCATTTACTAGTACAGAACCTTATCCATGAACACAGAGTATCTTTTGATATGTTTAAATTCTTTTAAAATTTTTTCAAAGATTTATTTATTTATTTTATTGAAAGGTCAGATACACTGAGAGGAGGTAAGACAGAGAGGAAGATCTTCCATCCGCTGATTCACTCAGTGGCCATAATGGCTGGAGCTTCTGCTGGGTCTCCCACGTGCATCCCAAGGCTCTGGGCCGTCCTCGACTGCTTTCCCAGGCCACAAGCAGGGAGCTGGATGGCAAGTGTGAACTTGCCAATTTTCATTATATTGTCTGATGTTGTTTTTCATTCCATTGTTAGAGAAGATATTTTATATAATTTGATTCCGTTTCAGTTTATTTAGATGTAATCGAATATAATCTGTCTTGGAAACACTCCAGGTGTGTCCGAGTAGGCTGTGTATTCTGCTGTTTGCATGAAGTGTAATATAACCATCTGTTAGGTTTACTTTATTGTAGTGTTGTTCGTGTTCAGCATTTCAAATCCTGGAAAACTAATTATAACGTGTTCAAGTCCTGTAGTCCTTAGCATCAGATTAAGTAATATGAATTCTTCATAAAAGATAAAACAGATTTACCTGAATTTCTTGTCATGTATTTAGTATGTTATGTAATCAGAATTGGAGATTAAGTGTTTAATTATTATATGTACCATACTAGCTATTTATAGTTTGAGGTTTGGACCTTACAGAAGATAGAGAAAATGATTATTTGTTTGTTTTTTTGGTTTTTGTTTTTGTTTTTGGCTGGTTGATTTGCTTTTTTGGTTGGTTGTGCATTTATTTTATTCTTGAGTTGTTTTATTAGCAAGGATACTGCACTGCGTCAAGATGATCCATAGCAGCTAGTGATAGTGCTTAGCTGTCACTAAGCCACCTGTGATTTGAGCAACAGCATAGGGAGACAAGGGATCATCTTGAAAATTAGTGCTAACGCTTCTTCTTTTTAAAAAAATGTTTATTTATGTATTCAAATGTCATGATTAGAGAGGAGGAGGAGAGACAGAGATAAATGTCTTTCATCCAGTGTTTCACTTCTCAAATGGTTATGTCAGCTAGGACTAGGTTGAGGCTGGGCCAGGCCAAAGTCGGGAGGCAGGAGCTTCATCTGGGTTTCCTGCGTGGCTGCAGGGGTCCAATCCCCAGAGCTGTTTTCTGCTTGCAAGGCGAGGATTTAGCTGTTAAGCCATTGTGCAGGGCCCAGGACACCTCTTATTGAAAATTTACATCCAGCCCCTGCGCGATGGCGCAGTGGTTAAGGTCCTCACCTTGCACGCCCGGGACCCCATATGGGAACCGGTTCTAATCCCAGCAGTCCCGCTTCCCATCCAGCTCCCTGCCTGTGGCCCGGGAAAGCAGGATGGCCCAAAGCTTTGGGACCCTGCACCCGTGTGGGAGACCTGGAAGAAGTTCCTGGTTCCCGGCTTCAGATTGGCGCAGCACCGGCCGTAGCGCTCACTTGGGGAGTGAATCATTGGATGGAAGATCGTCCTCTCTCTCTCCTCTCTGTATATCTGCCTTTCCAATAAAAATAAAATAAATCTTAAAAAAAAAAAGAAAAGAAAATTTGCATCCATTAGTCATTATACAGAGTTGAGAAACTTAACATTTATATTGTTATCTGAAATGCTGTCTGTATTTAAGTTTCCCAGTAATAAACCTGACAAGCATATCCACTACTTCATTCTCGGATCAGGAAAGCGAAGGACCATGTGTTGCATTTAAAAGTCCTCAATCGTAGAAGTAATTTTTAGTCTTCTACTCACCTTTGGACATTTTCTAGATATTTCAGACTAATTTTGTAGAATGATCTTCACCTCAGGTTTGCTTTAGGTGATTAGATTCAGGTTGAATATTTCTAAGAGGAAAAATATGCAGTGATGTATCTTCAGTGACTTGCATGATGAGATGTGTGACGCCATTGTGTCCCATTATTGGTGTGAAGTTTTTACTTAAGTAAATGTAGTGTTTTCAATATTTCTGGCTTTTTTATTTTTAATTATTTAAGAGGCAGAAATCCTGAGACTGCCCCTGCCCTCCACTACTTCCCCCCTCATGCCTGAAATGGCCAGGCTGGACTTGCTGGACGTGAGGCCAGTGCCAGGCTGCAGTGTAGGTCTCCCACATTGAAATCTCTGCTGTATGTCATTTCTGCTCACTGTTTTATTTTCCAAAACAGGATTTCTTTGGCAGTGAATCAGAGAGAGAATTGTATTGTGGAAATTGTGTGTTTAAAAGTCTTGTTTATTTATTTGAATGAAAGGCAATTAAGAAGAGGAGGTGAGAGTGAGAGAGAGAATATTCTGTTTTGCTGGTCCCCCACTAAAACCAGGAGTCCAGGATTCCAGCGGGGGTTTCACCAAAGACTTGACCCCTCTTCTGGTACTTTCCTGCGTTGGCAGGGAGCTAGATTGGAAGAAGAGCAGCTGGGAGTTGACCTGGAACTTTGGAGATAGTGGCTTTTTGCAATGCCCAGCACTGGCCTCAGGAGTCATACCTGTTTTTGCAATACATTTAACAGTATTTCTTGAGTGATTATTTTATGGCTGTTGCATACATGAAAGTGTGTCATTTTAAAGAAATTTTCTGGCCACTGACAATTTCAATTTAGGATATTTATGGTTACTGATAAACTAATATGCCTCATTAGCCCTATCAGATAAATACTGCTTTGTGAAATGCCAACATTATAGTTCAAAACTCTACCTACAGGTTTCTTGTATGGAGTATGATGTAATTTGTTGGTTAAATGTACAGGAGAAAAATATATTTTCTTTCAACATAGGATCTCTGAGTACTTAAGTACAGATGTTGTATAGTAATTGTTAAGGAGGGCCTGGTGTGGTTATCAAGTCCTTGCCTTGCTGAGATCCCACATAGGTGCTGGTGTGTACCCTGGCTGCCCCACTTTTCCTCCAGCTTGCTGCTTGTGGCCTGGAAAGACAGTAGAGGACAGCCCAAGGCCTTGGGACTCTGCATCCACATGGGAGACCTCAAAGAAGCTTCTGGCTGCTGGCTTTGGAATGGCCGAGTGATGGCTGTTATGGCCACTTGGGGAGTAAGCCAGTTGGTGGAGGATCTTCCTCTCTGTCTCTCCTCCTCTCTGTATATCCACCTTTGCAATAAAAATAAATAAATCTTTTTTAAAAAAGTCATTAAGGAAAGATTCAGATACTTCCTGTGGTTTGGTAGAGTGCTTAGTACTAGAGAAACCAAAGAAATTACACATTACTTTTTTTTTTAAGATTTATTTATTTTTATTGCAAGGTCAGATATACAGAAAGGAGGAGAGACAGAGAGGAAGATCTTCTGTCTGATGATTCATTCTGCAAGTGACCACAGTGGCTGGTGCTGAGCCAATCTGAAGCTAGGAACCAGGAGCTCTTCCAAGTCTCCCACATGGGTACAGGATCCCAGCTTGGGCCGGTCCGTCGACTGCTTTCTCAGGCCACAGGCAGGGAGCTAGATGGGAAGTGGAGCTGCCAGGATTAGAACTAGCACCCATCTGGGATGCCAGTGCTTTCAAGGCTAAGACTTTAGCCTCTAGGCTACCATGCTGGGCCCCACACATTACTTCTATACCCTGCAATAGGTTTATATTCCAGTCTAAATGTATTAGAATATTGTGTAAGTACGAAACATCTTATATTTGAATGTGAACACTTAAGAATGTCCTTTTTTGTACATCACGTTGTTTTGTTTGCATAACACTGTTGGTACTTGAGAAATTTTGTTTTGGGATGTTAGCTTTCATTGTTCTTTTTTACTTAAAAATTTTACTTTCATTTGAAAGGCTGATTTACATAGAGAAGGAGAGAGAGAGAGAGTGTGCATTACCTTCCAACTGCTGGTTTACTCCCTAAATGGCCTAATGGCCATAACTGAGTCTCTGCAGTGCCAGGAGCCAGGAGCTTCTTCTTGGTCTCTCACATGGTTGTAGGCCCCTAACCACCTGGATCATCCTCTGCTGCTTTCCCAGACCACAAGCAGAGCTCTGGATTGGAAGTGCAGCAGATAGGATTAGAACCTGTGTCCGTATGGGATGCTGGTGCTCGGGGCGGAGGATTAGCCTCTTCTACCATGGCACCTTCCCACGTTCACTGTGATAAATGTCCTCTTTCAAGAACGTATTGGCTTTGACATCCTAATTAATAATTTCCCCTGATATTGATTTACTTCAGTTTTCTGATTTGCTTTGTGAATTAGAATACTCCAAGGGCATAACTTGATATTTCTTTGTGCCTCCAACAGACCTTTCTTTTTTTTTTTTTTCTGATAAAACCAGAACAGATACTTTATAATTTGATTCCAGAAAAGAGTGTCACAGGGTCCCTGGTAATCCCTTGTCCAAGGGGTTTGACATCTTTTTTCTCCTAATCTGTTTAACTAAAATTCCTTCTATTACCAATTAACTGTCCTTCTTGGTTTGTTTGAGTAAAAAGAACAACATAGGAACTGGTGTGATGACTCACTGGCTAAATGCATGCCTTGCACCTGCCTGGATCCCATATAGACAGATGCCAGTTCGTGTCCTGGCTGTTCCTCTTCCCATCCAGCTCCCTGATATGGGCTGGGAAAGCAGTGGAGGACGGCTCTAAGCCTTGGGACCCTGCATCCACGTGGGAGATCCAGAAGAAACTCCTGGCTCCTGGTTTCAGATCAGCTCAGCTCTGGCCATTGTGGTCACTTGGGGAGTGAACCAGCAGATGAAAGATCTTTCTCTCTTCTCTCTGTAAATCTGACTTCTCAATAAAAATAAACAAGTTTTAAAAAACAACATAGTGTCACAATTACAGAAGTGGCACTTCCATTTTCTCACCTATCCCACAAGACTGTTTCAGTTCAATTTCTTTACTAACCGAAATTAACCAAAGATGGTTATTGAAAACCTCAGTTTGGCCATATTTTTGAGGTGTTACTCGAAATGTTAGTGTCTTTAGAGGAGAAATGTCATTTTGCGGGGGGGATCTAGAGCAACAGCAAAGCTGAGATCAAACTGCCACACAGATGGACACCAAGGAGGCTGTATTTGAGACAAGAAGAAATTGATTTAAGGTAGAGATGCAAAGTACAGAACAGAGCTGGGCCCTGGGGGGTAAAAGCAAATGGGTTTTCTACTCTTTTGTTGTTTGTTTTTTTAAAAGAGTTATTTATTTATGTTGGAATGACAGATTTACAGAGGGAAGGAGAGACAGTGAGAAAGGTTTTCAGTTCACTGGTTCACTCCCAAGTGGCAACAGCCGGAACTGGGCTGACTCAAAGCCAGGAGCTTCTTCCAGGTCTCCGATTCTACTGTTTCCCAGGCCACAAGCAGGGAGCTGGATGAGAAGTGGAGCAGCTGGGGGCACGAACTGGCACCCATGTGGGATCCCCAATGCTTGCAATGAGAAGATTAGGCATTAGCTGGCCCGGTTCTCTGTCTTTCAGAACAGAGAATAGTTGGGCTTCTCAGGAGGCAGTGGTGATTACACAAACTGAAGCTTGGGGTTTTAGCACTGCACAAGCTGTACCTCCTATGTAGCTAACTGAGCACTTTGAAAACCGGCTGGGCGACGTGTATTCCTGGCTGGGTTCTCATTCTGCACTGGGGTTTTTCCTCTGGGTGGTTGTGGAGATGCTATTGATGTTGATTAACCTTACCAAGACCCAGCTTTTGCTCTAATGGCAGTTATTAATTGAAAATTAGAAGGAAATATGCAAGTGAATATTACACTGACAAAAAAGTACTAAGAATTTAATTTTGTCTGTGCGTGTGTGATGTCTGACTTGTGTCTCTTCGTAGCAACATGAACCGTGAAGACCGGAATGTGCTGCGTATGAAAGAACGGGAAAGGCGGAATCAGGAAATTCAGCAGGGCGAAGACGCCTTCCCACCCAGCTCTCCTCTCTTTGCTGAGCCTTACAAAGTTGTAAGTTGTTTGTTTTGTTTGAGGTGTATTTTATTTTATTTTTTTTTACTTTATTTTATTTTATTTATTTATTTTTTAAGATTTATTAATTTTTATTACAAAGGCAGATATACAGAGAGGAGGAGAGACAGAGAGGAAGATCTTCCGTCCGACGATTCATTCCCCAAGTGAGCGCAACGGTCGGTGCTGCGCCAATCTGAAGCCTGGAATCAGGAACCTCTTGCAGGTCTCCCACACAGGTGCAGGGTCCCAAAGCTTTGGGCCGTCCTTGACTGCTTTCCCAGGCCACAAGCAGGGAGCTGGTTGGAAGTGGAGCCGCTGGAATTAAAACCGGTGCCCATATGGGATCCCGGGGCGTTCAAGGCGAGGACTTAGGTGTATTTTCTTTCAAAGGCAGAGTTACAGTAATGGAGGTAGAGTTAGAGAACCTTCCCTCTGCTAGTTGACATCCCCAAAGGCTAGGCCAGGTGAAGGTGAAAGCCAGCGCTTCCTGTGGGTCTGCACACGGGTGCAGTGGCCAGGCCCTTGGACTGTCCACTGCTTTCAGCTCATGACCCTCTGTGGAGCAGCCTGGGGAGGCCAGTATGTGGCATAGTGAGTACGCTTTTGAAAAGTTTTATTCTTCAGTTTTATGAATCAAGTGAGTTTAACATTTTGTAGATGATTTTATTTCTCCTATCCACACGGTTGATATTCACATGCTTAATTCACTGAGTTGTAATAATTATTAGTAAGTTTAAATGAGCATATCTTTAGTGTTTGGCTCTTTGTGTGATACTAACCTCTTTCATTTTCCTTCTAATGCTTCCAGTTGCTTTCCTTTCAGTACTTGATTAACAGTATCAAATTAATATTAAAACAAGCTGTAGTAATAAATGGATCGGTTTCTATTACTACTAGCTATATGGTTTGCGAGTCGCTAAATAATACAGTTTCTGTTTGTGAATGTACCTTTAGTGACATTTGATTTGGCCTTGGATTGTGTTTGAATTGTTCTTTACATTTTAAAGACTTGTATTATGTATGTAACAGTAAAAATATGAAGGTGAGCTTAGAGGTACATGGGAAAATGAAAGTAAGGGCTAAGTTTATTTTTCCGTGAGCGTTTTGAATTGCAGTACACCATGTGTTATGCAGTAATGACTACAGTATGAGGGTGAGAGTGGTCGTTTTTCTAATGAAATATTAAAAGTAACAACATATTCAAAGTTTAGTTTACTTCTATTACATTTGGTTCTTATGGAAGTTACTTATATGTTCTACCTTTTAAAAAGTCTGTTAGCTAGAGCTATCAAACATTTTCTAATTTATTTATTCATTTTTTGAAAGATTTATTTATTTTTATTGGAAAGTCAGATATATAGAGAAGAGGAGAGACAGAAAGGAAGATCTTAAGTCTGCTGATTTACTCCCCAAGTGGCCGCTGTGGCTGGAGCTGAGCTGATCTGCAGTTAGAGCCAGGAGCTTCCTCCAGGTCTCCCACGCAGGTGCAGAGTCCCAAGGCTTTGGGCCATCCTCACCTGCTTTCCCAGGCCACAAGCAGGGAGCTGGATGGGAAGCAGGGCTGCTGGGATTAGAACTGGCACCCATGTGGGGTCCTATGGCATGCAAGTGAGGACTTTAGCCATAAGGTTACCATTATGATTTGGATTATATTAATGTTAATAACCTAAACTCACTTGATTCTTGCCAATCTCATAGATAAATATTGGTGTGTTGTTTTTTATGTCTATTCAATGCAGTCAGTTTTTTCTTTGATTATGAAAATTCGAGAGTTCTAAAACCTATAGACATCAGACATCTTAGATCTTTTATCACTTTTGAATGATATTTTTACAACTTACTGTTGACTTCAAAAGTTGAAAAATTCATTGGTCAGGGAAAATATTCAGGATTTGAAACTTTTTCAAGAAATTTTCATTGTTTAGTTTGTTTGAGACTTTTATTATGGTGAATTAACAGGGGGAGTTACAAAAAACAATCTGGGTATAACTTGTTTCACTAAATTTTTTGTTTTTGCTTCTGACCATAACACTGAATTAAGAGGAATAAAATTGTTCATGGATTAACAAAATATGAGTGCTAGCTACCATGCTGGCCTAACAGTTAATATATATAAGGGCATATTTATTTTTGAAAGCAGGGCTAGGGATGGAGAATCAGAGATCTTTGATCTGGCTGCAGCAGGTGGGACTGTGCTGGGCCAAAGCCAAGGTCCTGGAACTTCTAGGAATTCATTAACTTGGGCCATCTTCTGCTACTTTCTTAGGGCAATAGCAGAGAGGTGGGTCGAAAGTGGGAGCATCTGGAACTCAAACTGGCACCCTTATGGGGTGCTGGCATCACTGGTGGTGGTTTTATCTGCTATGTCACAATAGCAGCCCCTGCAATATTTCTATTTTAGCATTAGTGTTAGTTTTTGTTTTTTGTTTTGTTTTGTGTTGCTATGAAAGTTATGTATTTATCATTGCCTCTAAGTGTTAACTCTGAAATATGTAGCCTTCCTTTAAAAGTTCTCTTTGTATTTGAAAGTTAATAAATAAGTTTTGAAGAATATTTTATTGCTGAGCATGCTAATTTTATACCTTTATTTTGCATTTTTTTTTTAGACTAGCAAAGAAGATAAATTATCAAGTCGCATTCAGAGTATGCTTGGAGACTACGATGAAATGCAGGATTTCATAGGAGATAGAGCTATACCAAAGCTTGTAGCAATTCCCAAGCCTACAGTACCGCCAACCACAGATGAAAAATCAAATCCAAATTTCTTTGAACAGAGACATGGAGGTTCTCATCAGAGTAGCAAATGGACTCCAGTAGGACCTGCACCCAGCACTTCTCAGTCTCAGAAACGGTCGTCTGGCTTGCAAAGTGGACATAGTAGCCAGCGGACCAGTGCGAGCAGCAGCAGTAGCACCAACAGCAGTGGCCAGAGGCATGACCGTGACTCATACAGCAGCAGTGGGAGCAGTAGCCGGAAAAAAGGCCAGCATGGATCAGAACACTCCAAATCACGTTCGTCTAGCCCTGGAAAGCCCCAGGCTGTTTCTTCATTAAGCTCTAGTCATTCCAGATCTCATGGGAATGATCACCATAGCAAGGAACATCAGCGTTCCAAATCTCCTCGGGACCCTGATGCGAACTGGGACTCTCCCTCTCGCGTACCGTTTTCAAGTGGGCAGCATTCAAATCAGGCTTTCCCACCTTCATTGATGTCAAAGTCCAGTTCCATGTTACAGAAACCCACTGCCTATGTGCGGCCCATGGATGGACAGGAGTCCATGGAACCCAAACTGTCCTCTGAGCACTACAGCAGCCAATCCCATGGCAACAGCACAACCGAACTGAAGCCCAGCAGCAAAGCCCATCTCACCAAGCTGAAAATCCCTTCCCAACCACTGGATGTAAGTCTCCAGTTCAGAGCTGTTCACACTGTGATGTGTTAACCTGTTGACCTTGAATTATAATTGAACCTGAGCTGCAGCTTTGCCCTAATGATAAAGAATATGCAAATTTAAAGGCTGAAAAAAGAGGTCCAAAGAAAAATTTGCAAGTGACTCCCAAATGGATCTAGGGACTGTTAGCTTTCCCTCCTGGGAAGTAGAAAAATGTGCTTCACTGATTTCAGATGTGAAAATGACCAGTCAGCTGGGGGAAGCCTGACCTATCAGTGCCATCTCTCTCACTGTTGATGGCATGGCATGATACATAGCTTGCTTGCTTTTGTCTAGAAATCAGTTTTTCTATTTTTAAATTTTATTTTGCTGCTTTTTTTTTTTAAAGATTTATTTTTATTATTTTTTCATTGGAAAGGCGGATATACAGAGAGGAGAGACAGAGAGGAAGATCTTCCGTCTGATGATTCACTCCCCAAGTGAGCGCAACGGGCCGATACTATGCCGATCCAAAGCCAGGAGCCTCTTCTGGGTCTCCCACGCGGGTGCAGGGTCCCAAAGCTTTGGGCCGTCCTCGACTGCTTTCCCAGGCCACAGGCAGGGAGCTGGAAGGGAAGCGGGGCTGCTGGGATTAGAACCGGCGCCCATATGGGATCCCGGGCGTGCAAGGCGAGGACCTTTAACCACTTGTGCCACCTTGCCGGGCCCCCCTTTTTTTTTTTAAGTGAAAGGCAGAAAGGGAGTTCTGTCCACTGGTTCACTCTCTCACCCTGAGTGTTGAAACCAGGGCCTGAGAAGACAGTCAGGTCTCTCATGAGGTGGGGTGGGGAGGACAGAAGCCCAGTTACTTGAGCCATCCCTGCTGCCGCCCAGGATCTGCAGCAGCTGCCAGTGGAGCTGGAAGCTAGAGGGACGCAGAGCCAGCACTGCAACATCTTCATTGTAGTGGTACTGGAGAATGAAATGGGAGTCATGGTTTGTGGTACCACATACTGGGGCATTGCAGTTTATGGAAATGAATGTTGTATAGTGGTTATGTAGTGAGTTTTTCCCCTTTGGTTATACTTAAAGGATTGGACAAGTTGCTCTAAATTTCTAGGGGTAATTTGAAATTTATTGTGTTTGTTACCTCTTTATCGCCTGATACTGAAACATGACTTCAGAATAGTCAGGGAAGTGAACATTTATTTTGAATTAGGTGAGATTTTCTTTTTTAATGCAGTTCACGGAATAAAAAATACTGACATGACATCATTATCCAAAACTCTCAGTTGATGTTCCTGCATGATGAATGGGATTAAGGATCAGGGATAGTCAAAATAAGAAGGAACTTCTCTTGGTGGTATTTATCATCTAATTATGCCTCCAAGGCAAACTGAATTGTTGATCCTTAGTGTTTGTCTGGATTTGAGCTTTCTAATTCATGTTTGTGCTTTAAAATAAGCAACTTACATCTGTGATTTAAAAATAAAGGACTGTGCCCATCATGTTCCAAGCCAATACTCTTAGTAATACTTTTGTTTTTTTTAATTACATTGTATTATGTGACAGTAATACTTTTAATAATGCTTAGTAGTACTTGTCTTCCTCTGTTGGTTTATATGAAGTGGTTTACCTTAGTATCATGATATATTCTGTATACAAGGAAACTTCAATTTTGCACAAGCTGCTTACTTGAAATATCATGTCTTAAAAATTATTTCTCATCTGAAGTATAAAAAAATACACAATTATAAAAACCATTGAAAAATACAGATTTCCCCAAACTGTGCTTTCTAACTAGTTTTCTGATTTAATATACTGGTAGAATCATCAATACTTTTTTTTTTTTTTTTTCATTTAAGGTTTGTTCATTTGAAAGGCATTATGACAGAAACAGAGAGAGAAATCATCCATTTCCTGGTTCCTGAATGCCTGCAACATCCAAGGCTGGGCTAGGCCACAGCCAGGAACAGGAACCATTCTGTGGAATGGTTCTGTGGAAGACTGGGACCAGCACTTGAAGTCATTAACTGCTTTCCCAGTTGTATTAGGGAGCTGGATTGGAAATGGAGCAGCCAGGATTCCCAGCAGCATTCCTGTTTGGGATGCTGGTGTCATTTGCTGTGGCTGAACCAGATGCACTCTAACAGCACCCTCCCCCCCATGAAGATTTACTTAAATTCTACTTCATTTATAATAGTTTCTAAAAATCTTTATAGGTACTGTACACAAAGCTAATCATACTTCAAATGTGTGTTTCTTTTTCTTAAGGCTTCAGCTTCTGGTGATGTGAGCTGTGTGGATGAAATCCTTAAAGTAAGTTTTGTTTATGTATTTATTTATTGGATAATGGTCCTCTGCAAGCTTACAGAATTTCGCACAGGAGCCACAGCAACAGATTGCTTATATGTGTAACTTGATTATATTCATCATAAATGACTGTTCCGCTTCTCCCTATGTTCTGAATCACGTGGCTTTTTTGTTTTACTGTTTGCCTTCAAAGAGCTGATTTTGTTTTTTGTTTTAAGTAAAATAAATTTCAGTCCTAGCAATGTGCCTTGAAAGGAAGAAATACAATATAACCATGCTTTTTCAACTTATCGTACAGTTAATACTTTGAAATGCTTTAAAAAACTCAGTATTCAGATCTTCACCTTGCAGATAGCTGGCTTTGTAATCCATCTGTACCTTCTGGTTAGAAATCTGGTAGTAACAGACCTCTAAGTACTGCACTTTTTGGGTATTTAAAGCAATGCATTTAAAACCCACACATGGCCAAAATGTGCATTCTTTTGTTAGAAGAAAAGGAAAATGTTGGAAAAAGAGAAAGTCCAGATACTAAATGAGTGACCCTGACTGTGTTTCACTCCGTGGAGAAAACGCAGTCTCCTGTTACTTGTACTTTTTTCCTTGTAAGCTCTTAAATTGTGTGTCTCTATTTGATTTTCCCTGTTCTCCCGCATACCTTCCTGGAGCCCCCTGTCACCTCCCTTTTGCTGAACCTGTTCCTCTCAGACACTTTCTCCTCCTTCATCTAGGAGCTTCCTTTGGGTTTATACTTTTTTCCCTCTCTGCTGATTTAGGAATTTAAAGTTTGTGCTTCTGGAACGATCATTTCTTTCCTTGACTATTCTAAGGCTTCATTGTTATTATTTTCCTGGCACTTTCCTTGATCTCGCTCCTTACCGTTTGGGAAGCCTTGCCTTGTGTATTCTGTTCTCTATTAAGTGTGGTGCTTTTTACCTAGCCCCCTGTGTTTTCTTTCTGCGTTTTGACTCCTGTTCCTGCTAGTCTTGGCTTTATCTGTTCAGTGGTTGGCCTCCTTTGTGTTTTGGTTTATTTCTCTTAATTGCTTCTTAGCTGGATTCCATTTGGATTTTTCTTTGCTTGCTCAAATGTAACATGTCTAATGCTATGCTATCAGACTTCCTTTTAGGTACAGAATCTAATTAGTATAAAGAATGAGATATATAGACTTTGAAATTTCCTTTGAAATATCCATTCTTCCCATTTCTGTGACCTTTAAGCTTCTGTAATTGTAGCAGGGACCTCAGTGTGCTTGTCTCTACCTGCTTACCTGTCTTCTGTGTTATTACCAGCTTCTTTAATTCACTCTCCAGACTTCATAATTCTTTCACTTAAGAAAATTTCAGCAACTCTGTAGGAGCCATTGAAAGAGTGAGTAGTGTCTAAGTGTTATGTTCCAGCCCTTCCACAGGCTTTCCTGACTCTACGCTCCCTCAGTGCTTTTACCCAACTGGTTTCCCAACCCATACTTTTATTTTGCTCTTTTACTTCCTTGAAGTAATCTTTCTTGGAATGTATTTCTCTTTCCTCTTCAGTTACATGTTAGAATCACTTTATTATTATTATTTTAAAGATTTATATAAAGGATTTATTTCTTTTTATTGGAAACTCAGATTTACTAAGAAAAGGAGAGACAGAGAGAAAGATTTTCCTGTCCACTGATTCATTGCCCTAGTGGCTGCAATAGCCCAGGGCTGAGCTGATCCAAAGCCAGGAGCCAGGAACTTCTTCCGGGTCTTGCTCGCAGGTGCAGGGTCCCAAAGCTTTGGGCTGTCCTGTACTGCTTTCCCAGGCCAGAAACAGGAAGCTGGGTGGGAAGTGGAGCAGCTGTGATACGAACCAGCATCCATATGGGATCCTGACATGTAATGCAAAGACTTTAGCCGCTAAGCTACCATGCTCGCCCCTTTATTCTTAAAATCTCAGTTTCCTGTACCAGGCAGACTACAGTGACATAACTCACCTTTTGTAGTTACCCACTTGTATTAAAATTCCAAGAGCAGATATTTATCTCCCTGAACCTTCAACAACACGTGAAATTTTAGCTGCAACATTTTCTTAAATTATTTCTTTGATAGTACTGGTCATTTACTCTGTATTTTATATATACAGAGCTTGGTACATGTCCTTGAATCATGTCATGATACATTCAGGAGTTCGATAAGTTTTTTTCCATTGAGAATATTTTAGCATTGGAGATGCAAAATGCTGATCCCAAACCCTGAGACATGGGATTCTGCTTCCTTCTCCTTCCCTGTAAGCCATGGGTGGGGTACTTCATTTCCTTTTTGTGTTTTCTTCATATCTAGTCATACTGTTTGCAGAAATTTATTGATAAACTTAAAATATTTTCTAAAATTAAGTGTAATATTAATATTATACTTAATTAATTAATATCAATTTTAAGATGCTTAATTGAGCACCTACTCTGTGTCTAACACTGGATAGTGACAGTAGTTTCACCTTCTGTAGCAGGCAATGGGAAACAGACGCTATTAAAAATAAATAAGAGATAAAGGGCAATTATGTGCAGGTTACTCTCTAAGAGTTTCAGTTAGTAGAGTCTAAATCAAGTGACCTTGTCTGTCTCCCTTCTGTTCTTTTTCCCAGAGGTTGCTAATCATAACTGTCTTTCCAGAGATTTTGTTTTCATGTATAAACGTTTACTAGGACATAGACTGATTTGTATTTGTCACTTAACATACTGTAGACATCATTTCATGTGAACAGTTAAATTTCTTGTTTTGTTGTCGGCTTGGTGTTCCATTGCATGGCTGCCTGGCAATTGATTTAATCAACACAGTGCTTTGGGGACATAAGTTTCTAGTTTTTAAGTGTGAGCCCCATGAATATATATCTTAACTGTGGATGTAGCTTTGGAATATATTTCTAAGTTCTGTACCACTTTTGATTCACCCGCTGGCGTTACTTGGAACAAAATGCCTAAAATAAAGTTTAATTTATTTTTGTAAATTATTCTAAGTTTAATATCTACATCTCCCCTCTAACATACACACTGTGAATTTGCTCAGCTCCCGCTCAACCACAATTGGTACAGGATTACATAAAAAGAAGGCTGATGGCCCTCCTTATCTGTTTTTCTTCTTACTTCCTTTTGAAATTTTTTTCATTTTCTCACCTGAGAAGTCTGTTGTAGTCAGACTTTCCTAGGTTGAAATTCTGTGTCCACTGCTTACCGTGTGACTTTGAGAAAGTGACTTTACCTGTATACTTTAGTTTCATCCTGAGTTAGGATAATAATCATGTCTACCTCATAATGGCATTGTGAGTACTAAATGAGTAACAGACATGTAAATACTTAGCCTAGTGTCTGGCCCATTAAAGGTACATAATAAATGTTAGCTGCTTTCCGTATCATTATCCTCTCCTCGCACCCCCGCCACAGGCTCCCCCCGATGGCACTTAGTGTGTGCCATATATCTCATGTCAAGCTGATTTCTTAACTATTAGCAGGTTTCCTCATCCTAACTGTGAATTCTTTGAAACCAGGGAATGGTTATTATTTATATTCCTTTTACCAACCCCATAGTGCCTTGCACACAATTGTGCTTGATAAATACTTGACTAATTATGTATAATTTTGGAGGAGCCGTCATAAAACCAGCATTTATAAATACAAATCTGGTTTTTAGCTGTATATTTTTATCCTTAACTTGGTTGAAAACAAACTGTAATAATTACATTTCAGGAGATGACGCATTCATGGCCTCCCCCTCTAACGGCTATTCATACTCCATGCAAAACAGAACCTTCCAAATTTCCTTTTCCAACCAAGGTAAGTAAATAAAATATCTTTGATACTGTAAGAAAATTCTAAATGGCTTGACTAATCATATGAATTAAAAATTGTCTTGCCATTTCGATTCTAGTGGGAGATAGGCAATAAGTAAGTGAATAACTAGGTAAGTTGAGATAGTAATACTGCTATTTGAAGAAAATAAACAGGATGATGGAATTGTGAGCATCTTGGATTGAGAGGAACTTAAGAAATCTTGGAAGGCAATATGGGGAGAGACTTAAAGGCATTGGTGTTTATTGCAAGCTCTTATGATGTATTTGAGGCCAGAGGTGATACATGATTCTCAAACCATAGATTGAGGAAACCCTTCTCACAGGACATGGCACCCAGACCTGCGGCCTGTGGGAAGGGCTTCTTCAGGAAATGCTTCCAAGCTCATCTAAAATCAATGCATTTTTTTTCTAGCATTAGTTGGTTCTTAAAATATAATACAGAAATATATCTCCTTTAGGAAGTTTGGCCTGGATCCCTTATAGTAAATAAGCCGTTCCCATGCTGCCCTGCCCCTTTTTCATAAAAGCTCCATTCATATATACCTCTGCAGGCCTTTTTAATGCATTTCTATATATTTGTATAATCATTACCCATAAGACTTTTCCATTTATTGTTTGTACACAGATACATTGTTGTGTATCTTTAATTAGCTAGCAGTGGGTTTGTTGAAGATCTTGCCATACTATTATATACTGAGGTGTTTTCACGTCTGTAACTGTACCCATAGGGTGAATCCATCTGACTTTGTTTAACCATTTCTCTGTGGTACATTAAGTTTCCATTTCTGTAACCATTTCTTTAGTGGATATCTTTGCGCCTGCCTTTCTTGTGTGCATATAAATTTCTGCAGAATAAAAAGCTGGTGGAATTGCCAGGTGCTAGGAGTGTTTATCATGCATACTCTCAAATTCCCTCTCGAGTGCCATCACAATACACTCACCAGTTAGTACTTCCATTTGCATTACCCCTGTTTCTTCCATGAACACGGCCAGTTGATAGTATTGTCAATTTTCTGAAGGAAAATGACATTCCATTTCCTAGATCACTGATGAAGTTCACCTTTGTCACCCTCATGACTACTTCTTATATCAGTGTGACTGTTGCTCCTGCTGTTTGACTTGTAACTTCTATCTAATGACTTTACAGGGGTTTTTTGTTTTGTATAATTTATTTAGTAAGAATTCTCAATTCTAGTAATGTTGCAAATATATCTCTTGGTTAGCATCATGTCTTTTTTAAAGTTTTGTGATATTTTAATTTTGATAAATAAAATATATCCTCTTCCTTTACCTTATTCTTGTGAACCAAGGTTCATAAACTACCTTTTTATTTGTGATGTCTATCTTTAGGTCATTTTACTTCTGTGTGTGATGTGAGGATGTTGTAGGGTTTTTGACCCCGAGTACAGCAGCAACCTCACTTCTTGTCTCGCAGGAAAGAAGAATTTTCGTGCGGAAACAGTTTAGTTTTAAAGCAAGATTTGTTAGACAAGTTGAGAAAGGAGAATCCTGTCCTAGTGACAGGAGGGGGCTCTGAGATAGAAAGGACCCTTACCCCCTGCCATAGTGGCAGGAAGAAAAGTGGAAAAAAGAGATCCTAGTCTTTTGCCATAGTGGCAGGAGGAAAAGGAAGAAAAAAACCCATATTAATGGTGGGAAAAGCATGTTTTAAATGTTTACCTCAAAGATGTTTCTTCATAAACAAAGAAAATTCCTGGTTTTTCAGTGCTTAGGTATTCAGAACAGCTGTCCCTGGCTCAGATGAGGCCACAAGTTGGGAACACAATCTCCACCTCCCCTGCAGGGCAGAAGGCCAGTCCCTTGAGTCACTGCCCCCAGGATCCGTGCTGGGGACAAATCCAGTCTAGAATCAAATCCAGGCACTCCAGTCTGGGGCTTGAAGGCCTTAACTGCAAGGCCAATAGTTCTCTCAACTGTCCCTCTTCAGTGTAATCATTACTGTTTTTAAAAGAAAAAGATGTGATGTCTTAAATTCGAGTTCTGCCTGAGCAAAAACAAAGTTCTAAATCTGAATATCATTCTAAAGGTGACTCACAGTGCCCTACTCATCTCCACCCTGCCCCACCTCTGTGCTCTCACACAAGCTGTAGGACTCTCATTGAAAACCAAGTGATATGCAGAAGCAGCCTGATTGGTGGCGATTGCATTTGCCTGTGATTAGCTAGGATTCAGCTACTTAGTATAAAGAAAAAGCCTTGTTTTTTTGTTTTCAAGGTTTTTTTGTTTTGCTTTTAGGACTCCCAAATTAAAAAAAAAATTTTTTTAAGATATGGTGAGAGAGAGGCAGGGAGAAAGAGAGATCTGCTTGTCCATTCCCTAGATAGCTGCAGTGGCGCATGCTAGATTGGGGCTAAGCCAGGAGCAGGTGGTTTGACCTGGGTTTTCTACAGGGAAGCAGGGGCCCAAATATTTAGGCCATCTTCCACTGCTTTCCCAGGTGCATTATCAGGGAGCTGGATCAAGAGTAGTGTTCAGGACTCGAACCTGCTGCCTGGTGGTGACACTAGCCCTGAAAAGATTGCATTGTTAGATTAGTTTACCCTTTGCATACACTTCGGGGCAGGACAGCTCACTATGTGCAAAGGCCGGTCTGAGCCCTGAACACAGCTTAGCAACTGCAGAGTGTGGCTTTAGACTCAATAGTACTGGGTTTAAATATATCATTTTATCTTTTTTTATATTCTGTATTATTTTTATACTTACTAATCATTTTTTAAGTTGTCTCTCACATGGATGCAGGAACCCAAGCACTTGCCCCCATCTTTTACTGCTTTTGCAGTTGTATTATCAGGGAATTGGATCGGTAGTAGGGCAGCTGAGTTATGAACTGGTACCTCTATGGATGCGAGTGTCTCAGCAGCTTAACCCTCTATACAACCAACTTGAAAGTTGTTTTAATCTGTTTCTTCCCTGTATCCCATGGTATATTGCTCATCCAGGTTGCTCCTTTTTTTCTTTCCTCTCTACTTCTGCCTCTGTTATTAATGGTTTCACAGCATTTTGCTGGGTACTATAAGGAAGTACAAAAGTAGAAATGTGCTTTATATCAGTGTGTCAAATATTTGGTTGTGGAAGTACAGTACATGAGAGAAACAGAAAAGTTATATGTTAGTGTTTTTTGGCAAGTAGTTATAAACACCATCTGTGTGAGAGTGTCTGTGGGTCCAAGGAAACCAGATGTCGGAGTAAGACCATCTGCTGTCGGGCCTTCCAAACTGTATTTTCTTGTGTAAAAACAGTTCTGTTTCCAGTAGTAAAAGGACTTTCAAAATGACTGCAATATATTACTTCATTTTGAGCTCATGCCTTTACAGTCTTACTATAACAAGTCTATTAATTACATAGGAGGTAGAACAAACATGTCTTGGGGATGGAGTGTGTGGTCAGAACTTGGAGGCTGGTTTGCTTCTGCTCCAGTCGTCCACCTGTACCACTTGATCAGTCTCTTAGCAGATACATTGACTTCCATTCTGATTTTCTCAAGGCTGTTGTCAGTATGACAGCTAAGATGATCTTTCTAGTTTGTCTACATGGTTGTGTAATTCTTCCGCTTAGTAAACTGTGCCACCCACGTCTTTGATCTGATATAACGTGTTAGATTGTCCATCTCCGTGTCTCGCTGTTCCTCTGCCTCTGCTTTTTCCTCCTTGGTGCTGCCTGTTAAGTTCCTCTGAGAATCTGTGCTCTTCGCTTGTTGGCCTTTGCATATGTTGTTCTTTCTCTCCTGAGTACTCACCTGTGCGTGGTTCAGATCTCGGAGTGAACGGTGCTCCCTCTGGATGAGCACCTCTGCTCATTGTCCTGCCCGCTTCTCTGGCTCTCCCTCTCACATGCACGCAGTTGGGACTCTGTGTGTGCCTCTTGCCCTTTGTTGCGCTGATCAAAGTTGCCATTTTACCTCTATTTGCTTGAGTACTTGCAAAGATAGTCATCCTTTGCCTTACTCAAACAGGTACCCAGCTGTGATGGCAAGTCCCTTGTCTATCTTTGCCTGTCAGTCTGTGTTCCAGGGAGTGAATGTGATGCTGCAGAGTTTGGGTTTCATCCATAGGAGAATCAAAGAACCTTTTTGAGTTCCTGTGAAAAAAATTGGATAGCTGTGGTGATGCAGAGTGATACTAGGGTTTTTGAAAAGCAAATCAGAGACTGGCTGAGTAGGAGCAAGTCCGAAGTCCTGAAGACGCATTGTAGATGCGAAGAAGTGAGGAACTAGCATCTGCACTGTAGCTGGCGGAGTGACGTTGGAGTCGGTTATTTAGAGTATAATCCTATAGTAACCTGGTGGCCATCTGACTCTTGTCAGAGATGAGGGAAAGTTCTCCGATTATTTGAGGGCTTGCGTTTTTTTTCTTTAAAAAGGAGACATGTTTGAATGGTAAAGAAAGAGAGGAGGAGGAAAGGAGGGAGAGGGACAAGGAAAGAGAGAGAATGGCTACTCATTTATTCTTCAAATGATTTCAACAGCCAAGATTGTGCTAAGCTGAAGCCAGGAGCCAGAACCAACAAACATTCTAATCTCCTAACTAGGTGACCCAAGTACATTATCAGAATCCCAGATCAGAAGTCGAAAAACCAGGACTAGAACCGGCACTCCAAGATATGATGCCAGTGTTACAAGCAGTGGTTTGACTTGCCGTATCACAGTGTTGGTCTCAGGGCCAATAACTCCTGGGCCATTTAAGCAGTGAGTATAGGACAGCAAGCAGTTAAAAGGCTTGGAAGGGGGCTGGCACTGTGACTCAGCAAGTTAACCAGCAGCCTGTGTGGCTGCCATCGTGCTAGCGCCTGTTTGAGTTCTGGCTACTCCTCTTGTGATTGAACTCCCGGCTAATGCACCTGAGAAAGCAGAGGAAATCAGTCCCAGTACCTGGGCCCTGCTGCTCATGTGGGAAGCCAGAAAGCAGGAGCATGCAGCTTTCTCCAGGTCTTCCAGGCGGGCGGCAGGGACCACAGTACTTGAGC